GATCTCACATGAAATCTTTTGTATTCATAAGAATGGGGCTTAAAAGTCGTGCTAATTCTGGGGATCTCAACTCTTCCTTTGGGCAAAAAGAAAGTTAAATTCTTAGATTCTTAGAACTTACACCTTTTTCTTTATTTCTCTTAAATCAGTTGGAAAAGTTTCATTGATATGGAAAGGAAACATAGAATAGATTAAGAAGAAACATCAGGAACCAAACAATGATATTTCAATAGTCTTGTTTTTTTTTAAAAAAAAGAGCTGGCATATTTAGACTGCTGAGTGCAGCTTATTTAATGTTATAATTTAGTTCTACCATTGGAAAAGCTAATGTTTCTAGGGCACGTGCTTGGTCTTCACAAGGGCACAAGGCAGCCTTGTTCAGGCAAATAAACAACACAGTGTGTCTTAGGGCTGATTAAAGTGAATCAGTTACAGCAGCCTACTTGACAAAACTCAGCTGTTGATGTAGCACTGAGTGGTTCTGTTCACCTGCCATCTTGTTCCCTTCTGCTCTGAGGAGCCAGTATTTTGAAAGACAGCTTTAATTATTTACACTCAAAATGTAGTTTATTCTGCAGATTAAATGAAAAGGATGAAATGCTTGGGGGGGGGGGAATAACACAAATAAACTCCAAGCTGCTGGACAACTAGTCCCTTAAAAGGAAAAAATATGCAGGATCATGTGGACTGCACAGATCCTTCCTTTCAGACTCCTGGCAGGAGACTTCCTGTTTGGATGTAGGGCTCACAGTCTATGCAGTGTGCTAAGATCTGAGCATTTCCCCCCTTTTTCCCCTCCTTGACTTTTCTGTAGGCAATTCAGACTTCTCATTGAAGAAAACTTTCAAACACAGAGTGGCTCTCAGAATGTAAATTGGAAGAAATATATTAGATGGCTATGTTGTCATCCAGCCTGCAAATAAACTTAAACTTATGTAAAGCCATAGGTTTACTCAGAATTGCTGCAGGATATTGATTAACTTGACACAACAATTTGTAGGTTAAGCAACATCTTGCTACTAACTAAGTATGATAGACTATGATTAACTAAGCATTAATTTCTTCTTCTTCTTCTTCTTCTTCTTCTTCTTCTTCTTCTTCTTCTTCTTCTTCTTCTTCTTCTTCTTCTTCTTCTTCTTCTTCTTCTTCTTCTTCTTCTTCTTCTTCTTCTTCTTCTTCTTCTTCTATTTTATTTCCTTATGTTTACAATTCATAAATGCTTATCAAACAACATGTTGTCTGGATCTTAGCTTAATGACATATAATAAAAAACTAATCTCTACCCCGTCTTTTCAGCTATTGATAAAATACATCCCCTATTTGAAAATATTCTGTATCTTCTTTTTCTTTAATCTTCAATGTGAGTTTATCCATTTCTGCACATTCCAGGTGGCGTTTCTTCATTTTTCTTAATTATGTCATTTTCAGTTGGCATTTCTTCATTTTTCCAACTATTCTTGCTGCTGTTAATACATGCACCATTAAATATACGTTTTCTTTCTCATATTTTCCTGAGATTATACCTAATAGAAATAGTTCTAGCTTAAAATCTACACACTTTCTTAACATTTTTTCTAACCAAGTATGAATTTTTGTCCAATTTTTTTTTTTTTTTGCTTTAGGGCATGTTCACCAAAGATGATAGTACGTGCCTGGTTTTTGCTTACATTTACAACAATTGCTAGACACATTTTTAAATATTTTTGCCAGTTTGGAACTAGGCATTAATTTCTGATAATTTCTTGTGTTCTGCTGTGAAGGGCAAGTGAAGGGCAAGTGAAGGGCAGGGAGGAAAACATCTCTAAAGCACCCCCAAATTCTAAGGCAGTATAATTCTTAGCATTTGCTACCGTGGCTGCATTATTGGGGACTGGCCAATGAGGCCGTGTCACTGTTTTTCAATGAAATTCCACAGGGCTCTTGTCTCTAGGAATTAAGAATTAGGAATTAACAGGGGTGCACCATTCTGGAGGTTGCTTTTGGATTAGGAACGACCCCATCTCTCCCTGCGTACTTCATATTCCCCTCTTCCCCAACTTTGACAGTATTTATTACTGTTGTTATTTTTTGCTTTATTATTTTAATGTGCAGTAGTTTTAATGTTTGCAAGCCACCCAGAGTCATCTCTGGATAAGATGAGCAGCATCTCTATTTAATAAACAAACAAACAAAATTAATAAGTAATTTGTAATTGACATTGGTTGGCTTACAGTTAATTTATTTGATTCATTAGTGAATTACAGGACAAGAAGGTTTGATCTACATACCTGAGGCCCTTGTTTTAGGCATGGAAAGCAATGCCAGCTTTATTGTTTGGGGGTAAACCAATTAATTGTTTCTTTCTATATTTTACCAAAATTAAATTCTGGTAAACCACTGAAATAGCAGTGATTTTCATTGACAAATAATCTCTGTGGCTTGTTATTCAGCTTGATAGTTGGGGTCCAGCATTAAACTGTTAGCTTTTAAATCGATATAACTTTGCTGATTTTTAAACATGTCCATCAACTTGTTTCAATTGTTCCTAGTTGTTTCACTACAGCATAGGGGTGCATGCCATGCAAAACAAAATATTTTTGAGTTTAATTGAAATCAGAAGCTCAGGTTTCCAGGCTTTTGCATTGTGATTGAGGAGGTATATAACGGAATAAACCATTGCTGTTTGTTGCTAGGATTTCACCCATTGGTCATCACTCAAAAGATCCTGAATAATTGTATTTTTTCCCTATCCTAGCTCTTTTGCAGGACATGGTAGCCTTACAAGTATAATTAATTCATAAATATTGTTTTCTGGTCCATTCACAGTTTTACTTTTTGGACTTACGTTTAAGTAGTTTATTTAATATGATTTAAAGAATGCCCAACTCCAAATAACTTTGGGCAGCTTACATTTAAAAAAAAAGAGTAAGAAGAGCAAAAAAGAAACAGATCATAAGTATTCAGAAGGGAAACTCTGTATAACAACCAAACCTCCTAAAGGGTTCAACCACCACTCTACCCCAGGACTCTGGGAGAAGAGTCAAGAAACAATCAGAAATAGACAGTCCACAGATAGCTAGGCTCTATGCCATGAAGGACTGTATACATGATAATCAGTATCTTGAATGGCACACAGAAGTCAACTAGTAGCCAGTGCAGCTAATGGAGTAGCAGGATCACATGGATAGAATGTGTCATGAACATCACTGCCTAACCACCAACCTGGACCAACTGTCCCTTTTGAGTGGTTTTCAATGGCAGCCCCATACGGAGTACATTGCAGTAATCTTATTTCTTAGTGGCTATAATATGACTAATTGTCTGAGAGGCTTCCCCATTGAAGGACAGACATAACTGGTGCACTAGATGAATCTGTGTAAAGGCCCTCTTGGCCACAACTGCTTCCTGCTCTTAAGAAGGAGTTATAAGTCCAAGACAAGCTCCTGATTGCACAATACTCTTCAATGTGCAATCCTATTCAAGATTAATTTTTGAAAATTCCTAGAACTTGGAGCTTCAAATATCCACATCCATGCACTCTTGTCAGGAATGAGCCTGAATCTGTTCCTCCCCATGCATGCCTACACAGTCTCTAGACATTGGGACAAAATCCTAATAGTATTGCTTGATTGTACCGCAAAAGAGATGTACAGTGGATATTGTCAACATACTGATTATAGCTCACTCTAAACCACAAATAGCCTCACCCAGCAGTCTTATATACTGTTACGCAAAATAGAGTGCTGAGTTTGAGGCAGGCCATAAATGAGGGGCCAATAGACTTGGTCTCTTCCCCCATCAACACCAACTGAGACCAAAGTACAAAGGTAGGAGGGGAACCTTCTGCATGGTACCTTTACTGTAAATCCCCTCAACCAGTTCAGAAGACACTAGGAAGGATGCACCCATCTCCATCAGGCTCTGTCAAAAGTCATTGACAAGTATGATCAGAGCTATCTCTCTACTGTACCTTGCCGTGAAATGGATCCAGATAATCCATTTCTTCCAGGATCCTTTAGAGGCTGCTGCCTAACTACCTTCCCACAAAGGGAAGGCTGGAGACCAGATGATAATTGTTGATTCATCTGTGGCTTCTTAAGGGGTACATCAGTGCCTCTTTCAAGGTCAAAGAAATACTCCCTCTCTTAAAGAATCTGATACAATTGCATCAACCTAACCATAGGTCATTTGCTAGACATCTTTAACAACTCAGGAGAAATCTGAATCTAATAAGCAGATGACCAAGCTCGCAGTCTGAAGGATCCTATCCACTTCATCAAGAATCATAGATTCAAACTTGATCCAGGTAACTCCACAAGACTATGTTCCAGGAACAGGAAAACAGATCTGTCCATTTGGAGTCCAACACTAAGTAGATCAGAGCAACTTTTTGCCAGATAATGATCTACCTTATTATAATTATAATTTTTATATTGGCCCTGTAGAACTTCCTGTGGTGCATGCCCAACAAAGAACAAGTCAGCTTAAACAGGGACACCAGACAGCCATTAGTGGATGCAATAAGAATAGTGAAATAATATTTTTCCATTCTTATTACCATAACATAATCCCAGATATGGTGTCTTTTTCATGTTTGATCAGACTCAGTCTTCTTCCAAAGATGTTCCAGGCATCTCTTCTATAGTACGTTATATTACCTCTGGATACGTTTAGTTCATATATTTTTTTCTAACTTGTACCCAGTTCGGGCACATATATAGTTATTTCTCTGTCCCAAGTGAATGAAACTGTTCTGGGTTAAACAAACAAACAAACAAAACCAAAATTGATTGACAGGGCTAAAAGCTACTTAGTTTACTGTCTTATATTTTCCACTAAAATATCCCAGAGAAAGTCTTGCAAGACAGTGTTTGTTAGTCATGTTATTATTTAATATTGCCTGCACCTCTTTCATCCCCAGTTTTTCAAAAGCTTGTTTAGATACTGTAGTTATCTCAAAGTATTCCATTCATGGCCATTCATTTGGAGTCTTTATAATGTTTCTTCTCCTTTCTCTGCAGATCATGACTGTTAGATAGCATCCCATATCACAATGACTATGGCTCCCCGAAAACGGAGTCGTCATGCTTTGGGGTTTCTTTGCTGCTTTGGGCGGAGTGATTTGCCTGAAATCAACCTCAAGGACAATAACCCTCTGCAGTTCTTGGAATTCTCAGTGCCAATCCCACCAGCCGAAGAACTGAATGCAAGGTTCTCTGAGCTTGTGGTAAGTATATTTAATTTTCTGGGAGGAAATGTCTCAAATTTTGAGTATCTCTGTGTTAAAACCTCTCTGTTTAACATCTCTGAGTTAAACTTGAAAGAAATTCCAGCTCTCAACACACTCTGGGTATGTCTTGACAGAAGAGTATAGAAATTGAATGGCATTAGAGCTAAAGATACATACAGTACAAGTGTCACAGGTATAGGTAGGAATGGCAATCATCCCAACCTAATTTAGTATAACATATTATATGAATTTGCCATTGTTAGTCATTCAGATTCACAAAGGCACTGATAATTTGGAATTATTTGTTGATCTTTAAATTTACGGAAAAATAAACATTTTTACCCCAGAGCTGAAGTTCCCTAGCTGGTTTTTTGTTCCTCTGTTTTGCAGGGCAGAAAACATCATGCAAAATGATTACTGTATTCTGGTCTGTTTCTGAATGGGGAAAAAAAGCACAAGGGTTTATGATAGTGGTAGTCTGGAATAGAAACAAGGATTGTAGGTTGTGGAATCTGCCTCCTAGGCTTCCGCTTTGAACAGATTGACAGCAGGCGGCTGCGTTTGTATTGATTGGTTGTGCTGAGGTTTTAATTGAATCAGAAAATTCATTTGGAAAATGAAGTAGTGTAAATTCAGTGACCTGGAAATGTTTGAAAGAGTTGCAAATATTTTTATTAGCAATTCAACTCTGCAACCCACTGTTGTGCAAGGGGATGTAAGTACTCTCATTTGCTGCCATTGAATAGTGGCTTGAATGACTGGATGTTAAATAGGGACTACCTGTCAAATGTTGACTTTTGATATTTGCCATTTGCTTTGTAGAAAGTATAATGCAATGCTTTTGCATTTGATTCTCTTGACATTTGTACAAGCCATGAGCATAGGATCACATTAAGCATAAAAATTTGGGTCAATCCTCTACCTTCCTTTTTTCTTACAAAAAAAGCAGGGGGTAAAATGCAGTCTTAATAAGAAATAAGAAAACAGGCTGACTTTCTTGTCATCAGTAAATATTAATTATCCTTGGATGCTTTATCTGCTTTTCAGGAAAGCATCTTGGCTACTTCTTGGACATTGGTTGACTTGCTCTCTCTGTCTTCCTTCCTTCTTGATTTTATCATTTTAACACCACTTTCAAAAATACCTTTTGATTAGTTTTCTTTCTGCAGTCCAAGAAGTAAAAAAGCTCCATAATTTCTTAATTATATGTTCAGACACCAACCTAGGGTTTTATGAATGTTATCGGCTTACCTCCTTTAAGAGTTTGTCTAGAATTGAGCATTGTTTAGTCATTTATCCAGGATTATTGTTACAGGGAAAATAGGAGGCGGATCAGGTTCTGGTCTTGCATGGAGCTGTTTATTTAGCATTTTCTGGATAAAATGGGTTTCCTAAATTTGTGTCACTTGCCTCTTTCTTGTATGCAGTTTAGAGGCAACAGATCATGTGATGGAAAATTAAACCATTGGAGACCTTTTCTATATTTATGTGCAAACATAGTGCTGCTTGGTATGAGATGAGCAGCCATAGAAATATGACCAATTAATTTTCCTTTCACTTTTTCAACTAGTTTTTCCTCTGACCTTTGGGAAATGTTCTCTTCTCATCTTGTTTCATGATAATCTTATATTTCCTGCTACACTTTATGTTTACTCTTTGCTTGATGTCTGATCACAGTTAATTTCTTTTGTGCCCTAATAGCAGATAAGTATTGGATTGTATAGTTAGTTAGTGCTAGCTTTGGCTAAAACACCTGTTTCTCATTCAGCAGTCAACTTTGTCTATTATTTGACATCTTAGACCATGGGTAGTCAACCTTGGCTCTTTTATGACTTGTGGACTTCAACTCCCAGAATTCCTGAGCCAGCACAGCTGTCTACTATGCTTAATGACTTCGGGAGTATATATCACAATGCTAAGTTTTTTTTGTTTTTTTTAAAGTTATGTTTATAGTTCAATGCTATTTCATAGTTCTGCATGCTGACTATACAATCAGCTGAAAGCAAGCATAGAAATAAAGAATAATAGCGATAATCATTAAAATTATTCTAAGCACTTGGATAAGAATCTGCTCTTATAAACTGGGCCATAAATTCCTCTTCATTAACCAGACTCTGTTGAACCTTGTTTTGACATTCCTTTAGGAAAGAGGAAAGTCAGAATTCAAAGGAAGTGCTTTATAACTGAATTAGTTTACTATCTTATCTAGGCCTTGCCTTAAGATAGGCAGGCTCTCAGATGTAAAGGAACTTCTTGAATTAGTGTTGACTTTCTTTTGGCCTTCTTGGAACAATGACCTCCCTATATATTAGAGGATGCTGGCAGGGTATATCCGTACCCCAACAGTTGTGAATCTGGCCCATGGCCATAATTCTGGTGTGTCTTGGCTAGTTCCCCATTTTTCTTTGGCATGAATCACATTATTTGTAGTGAAGTACTTTTGCAGTTGGTGGTCTGTGCAAAATGTGCCAAGCTGGTTGTATGTCTGCTGGCAATGCGGGCTTTTCTAAGAGCATATGTTTTTCTTTGTGCAGATTTATTGACTGAAGAGGAAATAGGAGAATCTGGAAGACTTGCCCCCCCCCACCTCCTTTCCCTAAATTTTCAAGGTGTTATAAACTGCCATAATTCTATGGAATTCTGGTGGGGTTTTTTCCAAGGCCCTCTAGAACATAATACAATAGGTGGCAACATTTTGGTTTATAACATCCTTTGATATTGCAAATTTCACAGATTAAATGAAACATTTACCCCACAGATTGAAGCATGAAAGGAAAATAAAAATATTGCAGATTAGAGTTGTTAGACAAGAATGTATTGTCAGCCAGATGTCAACATAGAAAAGCAAACAAAGCTTCTGGGGAAAGGGACAATAGCAATAATAAAGGATAAAATCTAATTATAGACTATGGGATCCACTGTATTACAGGTCTACTCTGCTTACAGCATTTTATTTTTATTTTATTTTATTTTTTAAATACAACCTTGGAAGTACAAGTACACAATAAATCTCTTCTAAAATGAGGCATTGGCCAAACCATAATATGTTTGTCAGAAATTCATCTTGATTTAGAACTTTTTCTCCAAGTCCTCTTTATTTTTGTTGCCTCTCATGTTGAAGAAATTGTTATTGTAAGTAACATGGGCTTCTTGTTTTATTTGTGCAATCTGCTCTGTAATTTATATAGAAGCCTAAACCATCCTTGTTGACCTCTCATGCTCTGACAATGTGTATTTTAATTAATGCTTTATTGCAGAATAATGCAGAACTAAGACGAGAAGGTTATAATTTTACTAGACATCCTGTGGTCCATTGGGCCACTGTTTCAGAAATGTTTCTTTATTGAAACAGAGAAACAGAATGACTAAAGGCAGATTTAAAAAAAGCAGTGGTAGCAAGGGCACCTTCCAACTTCCTGCTGGCTTCTTCATTAGTTTCCTTGTGGGAATCTGGCAAGGTGCATTGGAAATCTTTCCTTCCCTTCCCAGCAGACAGGAAAGTGGCTGCTGCTGGGTGGGAGAGGGAGCGAAGGAATACAAGACTGGCTGGGAAAGTGTCATGGAACATTGAAAATGAAAACCACATGACTGCAGGACCAGCAGCCAGCAGCACTGAAGCAGACAAAATTTCCCCAAATTTCATTCCCTCAGGAGTTCATGGGTCCTGGATTTTGAAAACATTCTGTAAGTTGGCCCATTGAAGATACCTTAGTTCAAAAATTGTCACCTTTTGATGCAACATTTCAGTCAGTTGTCGATCATGGCAACAATAGTTTTATTTATCGAATTTAGGCACCAACATTCTCATTATCTGAGTCTGGGCAGATAAAAATTCATAAACTCATGTCAAAAATACAGTTAAACCAAAATTAAAATGAAATGACAAACAAATAATAGACACACAAACAATAAGTTAAAAGGCAGAGGGAGCTTACTTATCTCTCTCCTCCCTCCAGTTTTAGTAGTATATAGATTTGTTTATCATGTTTTATTTATTCTTTTCCACTTTGGAGAATATCCGGATAATTTATATGCTGCACAGGATTAAGCATATTATCTTCAGATCCTACCAGTTGTATGTTTGATTCCACTTTCTATCATTATCATCTCTTATTTTTATGAAGGTGTACATACACATACAGCATATGAGTATATGAAGCACTTTGGTGCAGTAGTTAAGGTGCTGACCTAGAAACCAGTCACTCTGTCTCTCAATCCAATCCACCTCACAGGGCTAGTGTTGTGGGGAAAATAGGAGGCAGGATTAGCTATGTCCACTGCCTTGAGTTGACCAAATATAAAAAAGATAGGATAAAAATGATGATGATGATGAACATGCCATTTATTGTAAATTCTGAAAGTAAATACTTAATATCCAAAGGATTTTTGAAAATACGACAGTTATTTAATCACATATATAACAAGTGTTATGCAGCAAAAGAATAAGACCGATAGACTGATTTTAGTGGTAGCCAAATTCTTGCTGTGATTCTGTGTAATCATCTCACATTGGTCAAGTGGCAAGGGTTGTAAAGTTCCTTAAACAACTTTTTAACATTGTTTTAAAGCCATCCCTCAATCTATTATTCTTTTGTATCTGTCAATCTATATCTGTCAATCAATAAAATCCAAATAACTAAACAAACAAACAAATATTATAATAGGCATCCTTTGAAGCTGGTTGGACAATTTAGAAAATATACAAAAAAGTAATTCTTCACATAGTGATAATTAACTTATAGAATCTATCACAAAGTGTAGTGCTGCAACTAATCTGGAGAACTTTTAAAAGGAATTGGACAAATTTATGGAGGACGTCTATAGAGCATATATTCATAGGACTTTCTGTCAGCTGAGTTGATCTGCATGAACTACAAATTAAAGTGCCTTTTATCCATTCTTAACTTTTGTGCATGTAGAAATGTTTCAAAAATATTTGATGCAATAGCTAAATATAAAAATGTAAAACATAAAAATGCAAAAACCAAGTGATGATG